GTCAGCTCTGCCACTGCTCTAGCACTATGCCTGCCTGCCTGCTGCCATGCTCTCCATCATGGTGGTAATGGACTCACCTTCGGAGACTGTAAGCAAATCCACAATCAGATGCTTCTTTTTATAAGTTGCTTTAGTCATGGTGTCTCTTCACAGCAATAGAAAAGTAACTAACATACCCTCACTACACTAAGAGTGGGTGTGAACTATGTAGTGAGCATTTGATGAGATTTACTTGAATACTTTGGCTTGGCTACTGTCAGCAACTGGCTAACAAGGTCACCTTTGCTGAATGCTTTAAGAATGCTTATTGTGCTGGGCTGTGGTAGTGCATGTCTTTAATCCCAGCACTCAGGAGGCAGAGGCAGGTAGATTTCTGTGAGTTCAAGACCAGCCTGGTTTATAGAGTGAGTTCCAGGACAGGATCCAAAGCTACCAAAGAACCCCTGTCTTAAAAAACAAACAAACAAACAAAAGTTCTTATTGGATAATGAAAGCTTTGTAGTCTGGGTAATAATATGCTCCTGGCAGGACAAAGTGTAAATTGGTTAGACATTGTATCTAATGTAGAACTGGGAACATTTACAGAAATGAAAGAGGATGGTTATAGCTTTCTGAGCCATAACCATTCACCATTACCACAGTCTTCTCTTCTATACCTGTATCTGACTGCTGAACATGATGATCCTTGGCGATCCTTGTGCCTGGAGTGAGTTTGTCTTTCTCCACATAGAGTGAATTCCAACTCATCTGTCAATACCCAAGTTAGATGCTGCCGCTTCAAGCTTGTCTTAACATTTAACTTGTATTGAGGACTGGTGTCTCTTGCTCTGTTTCTATATTTATCATGTTGTGATGTAATTTTTCATTTGTTGTCAACTTGCAAGAGTGGAAAGTCAGAGAAAATAGGGATATTGTTTGTTCTTTTCATCTGCTATATCCTCAGGATGTGGAAAAGTTCATGGCACAAAGGCTCTACATAAATATTTGTTGAATGAGCTATTTCTTAGTGGGTATAGACATGTAGGCATAGTTGAAAAAGGAAGTTCAAGATGAATTAAATGTAGTTCTTAATATCAATATGGTCCTAAAGAGATAATAGGAAAGTATCATTACAAATGTTAGGATTACAAAGGAGAAACAGATTTTGAGTTAGACAGGATGCTTTATACAGAAGTATTAGATTTACAGAAACTGAGAAGATAGCTTCTGTCCAATGTGAATTGATGGCACAGATACTGAGATGTAAGTACATTTTAGGAGAGAAATAAGTGTGTTTGATAATGCTTAGATTCATCAAAAGAAGCAGAGTCTCAAGGAAATGATTTAAATAGCAGAAAAGGAGAATTTTAGGATCAGTAGAATAAAGGGATGGTGATGACGAGTGGCAGGTTTTATGAGAACATGAGCAGATCATTTATTAACAGAATTTCTAAACAGTAATGTTGGAGAAAACGAACCATGTCAAGACTTGAGAAAAAACTTGGACATAGCAATAAGGACATTTAATCTTCATGAATTATACTTTCCTTATTTGTCAATTGGTGATAGCGGGCTTTGCAATCACACAAGGTGATTCTAGGGTTCAAATAAGTAAAGATAATTCTGCCATTGTCATGAATACATGACCATTAAGATATAGTAGGTTTTGCTGGGCGGTGGTGGTGCATGCCTGTTATCCCAGCACTCAGGAGGCAGAGGCAGGCATATCTCTGTGAGTTTGAGGCCAGCCTGGTCTATGGAGTGAGATCCAGGACAGGCACCAAAACAACACAGAGAATCCCTGTCTTGAAAACAACAAAAACAACAAAAAAGATATAGTAGGTTTTAATGTAATCCTGGATTCAGTGGAGTAGCAGATGATAGGATATGTACTTTGGCTTAAACTATAGAGAGAAAAGTGTTGGGAGGAAATATTTAAAAAAATAACTATACTTAAATTTGAAGAATGCACTCCGGGCTGTGCATTATCTCTCCCTCAGTTTTTGTTCAGTAAACATCTTCTTAGCTGCTGAGGTTGTAGAGATGGCTCAACAACTAAGAATACTTCTATGCAAACAACATGAAAGAGGGCCTAAGTGCAAAGCCCCAGGACCCAAGTAAAGCCAATGCAAAACCAGCTCCTCACCAAGGAGGGAGTGGAGACAGGGGAGTGCTGGGGCTTACCAGCTGCTAGTCTAGCTCCAAGTTCAGCGAAAGACTTTCTCAATGGTGTGATAAAACAGGATGCCTGACACTGTTCTCTGGCCTCCATATGTGCATGGGTATGTGCACTAGCCATGTGCAACACACACACACACACACACACACACACACCACACACACACACACAAATATATTACCTTAAATGCTGAGAAAATATGGGTAAATAAAATCCAGGTCTGGACTCTCAAGGGGCTTGCATTTTAGTTGACAGAAGCAGACATCGAGAAATATGGACACATGAGAAAACTGCAGGTAATTGTCACCCCAGTGGGATAATGTTGGAAGACAATATTGCTGCTAAATCGAGGGATTAAAGAAGTTCTTGGAACAGAGACTAACCAGGCTGATATGATGAATGATATCTAAACTAGAGTTTGGAGGAAGCTACAGGCAGTGAGACAGATATCAAAGACCATGCCTGGAATGTTCTGGGCGTGTTCAAGGACAGAAGGAAAAGGGATGTGTCTGGGACCTGGTGAAGCAAGGAGAGGGTGAGGCCAGAAAGCTACAAGAGCACCAGGTAGGAAAGGACTTTGGAAGCTCTGTGAGGGAACTGGATTTTCTCAGTGCTACAGCAAGACCTTGGGGTTTTAAAGAGAAAGGTGAAATTATTTCTTCCACCTTTGAAAATGGTTTCCACATACACATTTATAATATACATACATTTATAATACAATTAGAGTGTTAAAGTGAACTCCAGTTTCCTTGTTCGTAAATCAATCATTTTATTTGTGTATATGCATATATAATGATGCACATATGCTATATGTATATGTTGTATAGCAGCATTTTAGTCAAAAAACAGATGACATAGAGTACCACAGACCCTTAAGAGAAAGAAAGAAAAAAGACATGAAGTTGGTTGGGTAGGGAACAGGGAGGAGTTGAGAGGAAAGAATATAATCAAAATATATTGTATGAAAAAAAATTCACTAAAGAAATTTAAAAGATTATGTTTCCCAAGAGTGTAATAGTGATCTTGTGTGTTTATGCGCATTTTATGATTGCATAATAACAAAAGCACCCAAGAACACATTTCTGAAAGCATACACTTGCCACTACGTGAAATAAATGCCTATAAATGCAATATATCATAAAATTGAATAAGAAAATGAACTCCATCCTGATTCACTTCCTATTACATGATTTGTCAAAGTCTAACTTAATAGTGGGAGAGAGCTGTGTTATTTATTGTATGTCCAGCCACATATATTCTTTCTGGTGTTAGATATGTTTAAAGTGACAATAGTTTGACATCACCTCTCAAACATTAACTAGAATATATAAGACCTGATAAATATTCAAACAGTATTTGCTAAATTCTCATAGTGGGTGAAAATGAAGTAATAATTAGAAACACAAGCATTCTGAATGCCACTTTCAGTATTCTGTTTAATTTTATGTTATTTCCTTTTGCTTTTTTTTCCTCAGTAAAAAGGAACAGTGGTCCTATCGAGAGACAGATGTTACAGGTCGAATTTCCAATGCTGACCTGTGCATATTATGTCACATTGTATTGCAAAATTAATATGTGCCCTTTTCTTCCTGGCAACTTTATTTTCCTAAGAAATAATGAGTGGGCTTTTTTTTGAGTGAGCAAACGCCCAGTAGAGTATTTTTGGCACTTAAAAAGGCACATTGACTATTTCAACTCCCCAAAGCATCGTCAGTGACTTCATTTTTCCTTTTGGAACAGTCTATAGAATCTCCTCCCATAAGTTCAGAAACACAATGGGAAAGCAAGCCCTTTCATCCAGTCTTTCGGTGTGCGGAACTACAGACGTCTGAAACATTGTGCAGCCATAATGCGGCCCCCAAAGTGAAATCTTCCCTTGTGAAGACAAAGGGTACAGGAGCAGTGGCATTAAGTTTAAAGAGTCCAGGTATTTTTAAGCTCTGCAAAGATAAATGCTGAAGCTCCAAGGAACATGGCACACTGCCATCTTTCAAACTCCACAAAGCCTGGCTTACACAGTGTGAAGGACTCCCAGCATCAATACTCTAATGCCAGAGGGAGTTAACCCTACTCTTCTCTCCTCTTCTATCAGAAACAAAAGTTTTTCAGAAAGTCTATTAGGTATTGTCTCCCTTGGTTTGCTCTGTTTTTCATGATTGTCATTTATTGACCATTAAGCAAGAAAACGCAAAAGACAGAAGTGCTTTGGCAGTTTCCACTGGAATCAAAAGATAATGCACCATTTCCTAAATCTTTAGCCTATAAAGCATCACTTTCCGAGAGAAACAGTGATGCTGATTTCCTGAGCTATGACTTTCCTCCCTCCCCAGCACTGCGTTTTTAACACACATTTCAGGTGGAGACCATGTCAGGAGCAGGGCACCCTTCCGGCACTGTGTGAGTAGCATCGAGTCTTGCTCTGCGAGGAAACACAAATAGAATTTAAATCACTTCATAATTCTTAGAGATAGGACAACAGTTTAAGAGCCTAGTGTCTTGATTCAGTCTCCTGTTCAAATCCTGACCTTCCCTTAGCACTGGACACGAGAGACTCACCTGGAGCCTCAAAAATCTCTGTGAAGCAAAATGCCTTTGGTGACTATCTCCTGGGGCTGGATAGTTAAGGCAATGAATTTTCATATGATTATCTAGACCCATGCCAGGGCCCACATAAGGACTTTAGATGTAGTAGCTATTATTTCTTATCAACACTGATAAGGAGAATAGTTATCGGGTCGAACAAGGTTTTTGTTTTTTTTTTTTTAACATGGTCTTTAACAATTCTATTATACCCTTACATTAAAAATTGTAAATATTGATGATGTTTTCTACTTTTAAATAGGTATTTTAAGTTGTCTGGCATACAATGTTGGCCTCCCAGGAGCAAAAATATTTGCTGGTCCTTCAAGTGAACAGTTTGGCTATGCCGTGCAGCAGCTCACAACCTCACAGGGCAAATGGTAAGACTATTCTCTCCCTTATTATTTCAATAAAATATAATTGTGTAAATGTAGTAGTTAAATCCATTTTTAATCCAAATAGATGAATGAATATACTGTTAATGGATAATGCATTAAAATTGCCCTTAGACAGCCTCACCGTCTTACTCTGGCTGGCCCAGAATCCACAGAAATATGCTTGCCTCTGTCTTCAGGGTGTGTTGAGAATTAAAGGTGCACCCAGCTCTGCTGTTTGCTTGTTTGTTTGTTTGATCAAATATTTGTAAATGAGGGGTTTTTTCTTCGAGAGTTGATAACTGTAGATTGATAACTATCGGGATACTAGAATAGTACTATTTAGTGAGGAGAAATCCCAGACAGAAAACTTTCTCTAAAAATTTTACTGACAATACAAGTTCTGACCATTAAGGTTGTAGATAAAACATAGACAGATAGATATTGCCTTGGTTCCTTAACCTTTGAACTGATCTTCCTTGAGTTTTAAAAGTAATCATCTAGCTAATGTTATTTTGATGTCCCTTCTTGCGGGGGGAGGGGCAGAACAACATCCTAAATCTTCTCCTTCAGTGGGGCTTAGCCCCCTCTGCTCCAAGTCAGCTTTCAATGTGCCTGATAGCAAGAGTTCTCATATGTATTCATAGAAAACTCACAAAGTTGCCTTCATTTAGTTCTATCCTAAAGTACTCATCTTAGTTTAAGTTACTATTGCTATGCTGTTTACTGGCTTGTTCATCATGGCTTGCTCAGCCTGCTTTTTTACAGAAGCCAGGACCACCAGCCCAGGGATGGCACCACCCACAATGAACTGGGCCCTCCCCCATCAATCACTAATTAAGAATATGCCCTACAGCTAGATCTTACGGAGGCATTTTTCTCAATTAAGGTTCCCTCCTTTCAGATAACTCTAGCTTGTGTCAAGTTAACATAAAACTAGCCAGGACAGTACCCAAGAATTTTAATGTAAAGGATTACATTTTATAAACCAGAGCTTTATTATCTGGTGAAAAATGACTACCTTTGAGAAACTGGAGGAAAATATGCATCTATATATGTGTATATGTATATATAATAAACATATAATGGATATGTATATCCATTGCTAGTTTAAGTTTACTGTGAAAGTAATAGAAAAAAAAAACTCAAGGAAATAAGATAACCCTGAAAATTATGTTGAGGAAGGCATGTTCCTCCCCTCTCCAATTTGATGCCCATTTGTAGACAGGTCCATAGAACCTAACCTCTCATTGTAGCCCAAGGACTTAAGCTCTGCCCATTCAGCCTGGAGCTTTAGGTCCTGATCTTCACCTTCTGGATGTTTTTAAACAATAACACGAACTTCGGGTGACCTTTACGTGAGAATTACCATGTATAATCTTCATGTTGTGAACTTACCTTTGATTCACTAATCCAATAGATTTAAAGAAAAAGAAAAGACTATTTTAAGTCCATGTTGTTTCTGCACTGGGGCATGCTTACCTGTGTGATGGGGAAATACAATGCAACTATCATGGTTTATCTTAGAAGGCATTTAGAAGAAGCAAAGATTGAGCTAGGATTAAAATGATGGAGACAGGTGGGCTGGAGAAGAACCTGAACTACTTACTCTGAAGAGATCCAGAAAGCAATCACGGTTGGAAATAGTCTGTCAGCCTGGGAGAGAACAGCCAGGCTAATCATTCCAAGGACTGTACTCCTGCAATCATTTGGAGTACAGGAGGGAGCATCAGTTCTACCAATTATAACTTTTTCTTTAATTACTATAGAGAAGAAAGCAAGCTAGAAGGGTGATACAGCCCTGTTTTGACCTTAGAATCCAATTCATTAAGTTGCCAATGAACCCAAGTTCGCATCTGCTCCTTTGCAAGAAATCCATAAACTATTTCTTGAGGCTGGAGAGATGCCTCCCTAGTTGAGAGTGCATACTGCTCTTGCTGAAGACCAGAGTTTGATTTCCACTATCCATGTAGGATGACTATTAACTGCTTATAATCACAATTCCAAGCGTATCTGATGCCTGCACTCACATGCACACATTTGCACACACATATAAACACATAATTAAAATACAGCTTAACATTTAAATAATAATAATTTGTTGAATGACTAAATGAGAAGCCTACTTCCAACTGATTCACCATAGATAGCCTATGGGGTGAACTATTTGAGACTACCTTAAGACCTATGAGCTGAAGAGGAGCTCCACATGAACTCCAGTGGTCTACTGCAAAGGCACAGCCTAGCTAAGAACAATCTGGCATTGAGTTTGAGGTGGTTTTGTCTTGTTTTCAGCATCAGCTTCTCAGAGGCAGAATAAGTCTAAGAGAAAGCGCTACCATCTGTAATAGATGTTATTAGAGATGATGTCAGTTATGGATTGGTGAGGAACTCAACTGCTGGCTATGTGGCAGTTGAATAAGACTAAAATGACAAAGAGATGACAGGGACCTAATGTAGAATCCTGAGAAAGTGAGGGTCAGTCTTGATGTTTCTCTCTGTGTAAGAAGAACTCAAGATATCGTTAAAAGGCTTTGGTATTTGCCGATTATATTGAAATTCTCATGCTGATTGGGTGACATCGAGATCAGGGACATCAGATAATTCGAAATCCTGCCTTAGCCTTCCCATAATATTTCTTGTGTAAATAATGACAATGGCTATTGGGAAATGAGGCCCTACTCTACAACTGGCTGGGTTGGTGCCTTCAATACCAATATGGAACTTTCTGGTAAAGTGTAATTTTTAGCTTAGGACCACAGCCTTCCTTCCCTTCAGCCAGTGTCTAATCATCATCAGCCTGTGCAGACGTACTGCACCACACCGAGGAGAAGGGACAATTCATGTCTAAGGGGCTGAAGGCACAAAGCGGAGAAGAAGAGAGCAGAGCTGGCGGGCGAGCCTGTCCAAATCCTCTCACCGCCTTCTTGCCAAGCAAAGGAACAGAACAGGCTAAGCCATGGACAAAATTACCTAATCCACTGTGACTGGATACTGTGCCTATGTGGGGTGTAGGAAACGCAGAGCATGGAACTTGCCCTCCGGAGTGTGGAACGGTCTAAGAGGAAGATTTATATGCAGAGTAGGAATGCAGGAATAAGAGAGAAGGGATAATTCAGGGCCAACCCTTGTCGTAGCTCATGTTTTCATGCTTCTACCTCCATTAAGGGTAAAGCTCATTTTCCCTTTCCAAGGCCCAGGACACTAGAGGTACAAGATTTCCTCATGGCCTCTGTCATTAGCCCGTCCCTATCAGTGGGCCTTCCTTGGGTACAAGGCACCAGGGATAGGTGGTCCTGAGTTAGGACAGGCTGCCTTCCCAGAGCAGAAGAAAAATAATGTGGAACCTGGGCTCCAGAATGGCCCATTTGTTTTGACAATTGGCACTGTGCCCTTCCCCACTCCTAATTTATGACAATTGCCCAGACGTTATGGAAGTAGCAGATGTGGGAAAAACTGTTTAAACATTAACTTTCCTTCTGATACTAATGAAGTTAACTTTTGCTAGGAATCCGTTCAATAAATTGTGAGTGTTTGCTCTGAGTCAGGGTGTCTCACAGACACACACACACACACACACACACACACACACACACACACACACACACAGGTCAATGATGTCTTACTGCTTATTCTGAAGTAGATCTTGCCCCTTTTCTGTCTGCTTACTTTGACTTCCTTTACAATCTCTTTTACCCTTGACTCCATCTCTCAGCCCTTTTCCTCTAACTCGTTCAAGGCTCCAGTAGAAGTGTTCTTAAATCACACTGTTATTTCGGAGTGCAGTTTGAGTTGTCCTGTGTGTCCAATGTTAAGAATATAGGCATGTTTTACTTCAAGATCTACTAGATTTTAATGAAGCCAACTTGGCTATTTTAGTAGCATTATTTATTAGATTTTTATTACACCCTAGACTTCTACTTTAATAGTATCAGTGACATCTCTTTATTACTTCTTGAGCCTTTTCCACAGTCTCTTGTGAGCTGCATAGTTTTAAAAGCAAGCTGACCCTCCTGAGCAGAGCTGCTGTGCAGCCCTGTGGCTAAGAGCAAAGCTTGGTGTGCTCCTCTTTCGGCATAGGCAGAGGAGGGCCAGCCTGCCTCCAGCCTGAGTCTCATACACCGGATGTCCAGCACGGATGATGCAATCCTTATCACAAACAATCTGTGAGGGCCTGAGACATGTTTAAGATCATTTCCTGGAACTAGCACTGATATGCACTGTTTCTGTTTGTGTAATCTGAATGAAGGCTTGCCCCAAGAACAATCTGAGTTCATTATATGACTCAAAATCATTGTAACTGAAATCACTTGTGAGACGAAGACTGACTAAGAATGAGGGGTATTTCCAGTCATGGAAATGTATTTTCTTGTTTCATCAAGGACTAGTGCATTCTACTTCCTTATAAAGAGAGAAGAACTATGAATGAATACTTCATCAAAAAAAAAATCACTATATCTATATATGGGCATGTGTTATTGTTTTAACTTTTTGGTTGAGAGAAATTTTAGTAAAATTCTTTATTTATTATAAGTGTGATAGTTCCCCAAAAAAATGTCTCTGTAGGAGAAATTTAAATAAAAAGTCATATAGAAGTGAGAAATTTTCAGTTTTATAGCAGACACAAAGGCTATGTGTGTTAAATATCTCTTACTCTAACTTGTTTCTTCCATCATCCATTCTGGACTTGAGTTTGTGATGCTCATGTACACACACACACACACACACACACACACACACACACACACACACTCCACATTTGTGACTCACACTTGAAAGATACCTGCTGTTGTAGAACGCTTGAGACATATCAATGATCTATGGAAAAATCCTCCACGGTTCCAAAACATCATATCAGATATTCCTCATGATAATATCAAGTGTCTGCTCCAGAAAAAAAAATTAACTTACAAAAGTAAAGAGCTTTGATACATACGCCTTTCTGGTAACCAATCATCTGAAACGTTTCTCTCCATCAGAACATGGATGTGGGAAGTGCTAAGTGG